CTTCGCGGGAACTCCTATCTTTCCGATGTCTGCGGGGGCCTTGCATTTTCGATATACTCTAGAGCGTATAGTTTAGTTAAGAACGGTTAGTTTCTACTAAACTTATTTTAGAAGCGACTGCATGCGTGGGTGCTGAAGTGTTCAGAGGCAACACAAAGAAAGCACTTGACGATGGTGTTTTACCTCCTCACGGGTAGTGCCTAGACGCCGTCCAAGCTGTAGCCGAATTTCCAGAGGAACATGAACAGAACCACTTTTGCTGCCTGTATCGGGGCCACGCATTGGGCGGAAGTCGACCACTGAACCGTTTCTGTTTCTTGGACAAGTGCATACTTACTTTTTGTACAGTTGTGATCATGTCCGATTTAGCCGGCCGTGACAATTTGTGGTAACGAACTTGGACAATAGAGACTAAATATATAATGTTAGAGTACTGGTAGACTGTACTAAGCCAGATTTTGATCTAATTGTTCATGACTCCATTTTAACTGATGTCGTGCCAAGGACAGCCACGTTGAGGCCCTGAGCATTCCACGAAGAACATGTAGAAGCCGATACAGCCGTCGTTTTTAGGTGTACGGGAGGACTGACTGGACGCAGATATTTGCAAGAATGGAGTTATTGCAGTTTACAGTCTGTGTTCTACAATTCTTAACGAAACATTTGTACCGTGAACAGCAGTAGCTAACTGACAAATATAACTGTAACTGACAACAGAATTATGTAGACGCAGATATGCCACCCTCGGGGCATAGTCACTCGGCGCATATGCTGTGTTTTTACTGTCCACCTTTTACACTTTCCGAATCGTATTAGACGACGCTATCGTTTATGTCTCTGGAGTAGAAGCCGGAGCCCGGTATGTTGCTTTTTCGCGATTTACGCTGTGGTAAACGTGCATAGATAGTCCGGTATCCTCGACATTTAATTTCTGATTCACCGTTACGCCATTTCCCACACTCAGTTGTTCCGAGCCATTAAGACATTCGCAATAGATATTGGCACGAATATTAGGGAATTTAACAGAAGTTTCTAAGGTTTCAGGTGGGCTTTTGAGCGAATACCCAGCCCTCAAGGTATAAGTAGCAAAAACCTGGTTTACGTGTTAAAATCAACATTCTACAGTGCCGTTATGGCACCGTGAAATCTTGAAGGATGGTAGATCTACCAAACTTTAACACAATCATTCTGTTTAACAGTATCACTGCTGCTCCCCGACTGCTTGTTCGCGAGAAAATCTGCATATTTCGTGGCCAGTCTTCCCTGGAAGCCTGTCTATTCGCGACCCTACATACGCGCAGAGTAACCAACAGATAATCTAGTGAGCAGACCCTGTCATCCCGACGACCTAGACGGAGGATTGGGTTCGGTGGCCGTTGATGTCAACGCACGGAAGGCCAATTGAGAGAGATACGCTATATTTTGAAAATATGATTTCAAAATTTTCAAGAAAAAGATTAACATTGAATAAAATTAGGCGCACAAACCACCGGGAGATCACAAACCATGC